GACCACAGATAGTCGCTTTAAAACAATATAGATGGAGACCAGCAGTTAGCGTAATGGCTATGTCGCTGGACTCTCACGTAGACCGCGGTTCGCGTCCCGGACTCGGTGGCTTAAAACTCACGCCCGGCACATGTGCATGTGTGCCCAAGATCCCGAAGGGAGAACGGAGAAGGGGGGTGATTTCTCGCTTTCTGTGAGTGCACAGCGCCCTATAACCAAAACCTCTCAAAAAAAAAAAATATATATATATATAGATGGAGACCAGCAGATGGCGTAATGGTTACATCGCTGTATTCCCACGAAGTCCACCGTGGATATTCTGTACCCGGCCGGCGACTTAAAACTGGGCGCTGGGCCCGTGTGCGTGGATGCCTAAGATCTGAGAGGAGAATAGAGGAGACGGGGTTGTGCGTGGCCATCCCCCGGGGTGAATTCTCACTTTCTATGTCTTTCCTGCGAGTGCAAAGCCCTATAGCAAAAATCTCTCCAAAACAAAGCAAAACAAAACAATGCCTCTGTATTTCGCCACTGGCCCTTGGGTTAGAAGTCAGACCCAGACACAAAAGCAGACGTCGGACGGGCCAGCGTTCCTGGCTGGAAGCTCTAGGAAGAATCTGTTTCCAAATCCACCCCAGCTGCTGCGGAATCCAGTCCCCACGGCTGCAGAGCGAGCTTCCCGTTCCCTTGTTCCCTCGCTGGCCTGGGCTGCCCTTAGCTCCTAGGGCTCCTGCTCTGGGCTCCTCCCACTTCCCAGAGCCACAGCGACAGGCCTGCTGAGTCCTCATCTGGGATCTCCCTGGCCTCTCCTGCCTGTTCTCTTACCGTCTGTACGCAACCTCATGCATTCTCTGCTTTTCAGGCCTCATGTGATTACAATGGGCCCATTCAGATAATCCAAGCAATCTCCCTATGTTAAAACCTGCAGCCTTCGGTCCACCTGCATTGACCTTTTTGCCATTAAGTGTAACATCTTGCCACCATCCAGAAATCCGGACATGCACACCTTGGGGGAGCCATTCTCCCCACCACTTACTAATAGTGGTGGAGTCCTCACGGTGAGACTGCTGAGCTCTGGGAGGTATGGGGTGAAAAATTCAGACTGGGCCCTCAGTCATGCAGCTCGGAGACTTAAAGAGCAAGGCCCACATCTGCGGGACTGGCACACTCGCAGGCCCCAGGCTGGGTCTCCAGAGGGTCAAAAGGTAGAAGCCAAGCCACGCCCACTGGAAGTAGTTTATCCTGGGAGACTCGGGGCTTTCTCCAACCCAGGGAAGGACAGGGCAGGGCAGGGCAGGAACTGGGGCTGGGTCCAGGATTCCTGGGCTAGGGCTGAGTTTGCCCAAACCTAGAACAAGACTGACCAGGTCAAGTGCCCCAGGAAGCCAGGATGGGTGTGCTCTTCTGCCCCAGGCAGATAGAACTTTTCTGGTTCTAGTTTCCAGATAGTTCAAAAAAATATCCTAGAGGACACTGCCCCAGAGAAGGCAGGAGGGACTGTCTCAGGAGATCCCGACTTTTGGGGTTTGGGTGGTCAGCCTCAAACCAGAGCAGCCCCTCTTGCTGCAGTGTCTCGAAGCAGGGGATGGGACCCCATTTGGACTCCCCATGTTTGTATCCTCTCAGCTCCCTCTCATTGGCCTGGGGTGGGAGAGGACTGTTCTGTCCTTTTCCTCACCAATCTCCTGAGAAAGATTCACCTACTGTGGGGTCCCCCTTGTCCGGGGTGGCTGTGGTAGCTTTTGGGTCTGCTTGCATCTGCTGTGGTCCCTTTCAGTGTCACCCTCTAATGCAAACCTCCACCTCTTCCAAGCTAGAAACTAAGAGTTCTCTCTGGGCTCCCCACGCTAGCCTGTTTTGGGGTGCTAGCATGCACCCTGCTGCTTCCCACCCCACAGTGATGCGAGTGCAGTTTCTGCTGCCTGGAAGACTCCTTCTGCCTACTCCACCTCCTCCCGTCCTACCCGCCTTGAGAGGCCAGCTGGGGTGGCCTCTCATTTCTCAGGAAGCTTACTTGGTTGGTCATTCAGTGTCTATGGGGACATCACGTTTCAGCCAGCCTTAAAACAGAACTTAAGTTGGGTGTGGCGGGGGTGGGGAGTGCGAGAAGTTTAGCTCTGGAGTGTCAGGGCGTGATGAATATTCTCCCCAAGCGGCAGCTGTTCAATGCCATCTATTGAGCACTGACTGTTTGGAGGTGCAGTGTGGGTTCCGTCACCTGTGTTCATTCAATGAACCCCACAGCGATGTCGGGATGGAGGTGCCTGTCACTCCATGTACTGAGGTGGCTGAGGACAGCTGACTGCTGCACGTTAACTAAAGACCTCCAAGGTGAGGGGCAAGAGCAAACCCAGTGAGGGTGGTCAAGTGCAGGGACCTTTCCCACATGCTGGCTAGCCTCCACCTGACCTTTGACAGAACAGTGCAGAGAGCACCACGGTCCAGCTGCCCTCTGCATCTACTTTCTGTGTGTGTGCACGCACACGTGTGCAGGGGTGTGATTATCTCGGCGCACCCTCCATGTCAGTATGGAGAAATTGTCTTCTTGACCATCATCCACTCTGGCATCACTTCTGGGAGGGAATGACTGGAAATAACCCAGATGAATACAAATAAAATTCATCCTTGGGGTCAGCAGATGGCATGGTGGTTAAGGTGCTGGACTCTCACATGGTTAACTGTAGTTCAAGTCCCAGACCTGATGGCTTGCTTTCTCTCTCTCTCTGGAGATCACATGTACTGTAACAAATAAAATTAAATAATTCTTTTAAAAAGATTAATTATTGGGGTCAGCAGTTGGCATAATAGCTATGTTGCTGGACTCCCATGTCGTCGACCGCGGTTTGAATCCCGGAACTGGTGACTTAAACTCACACCGGGCACGTGTGCGTGTGTGCCCAGGATCCCAGGAGGAGAATGGAGAAGGGATTGCGGCGTGGCCACCCCCTGGGGGAAGTGATTTCTCGCTTTCTGTCTCTGTTTCTCTCTGTCTTTCTGGCAAGTGCATGTGCCCTATGGCAAAAACCTCTCCAAAAAAAAAAAAAAAAAAAAAGAAAAAAGAAAAAAGAAAAAATATTAATTCTTGGGGCCAGCAGTTGGCATGGTGTTTGAGGTGCTGGGTTGGACTCCCACTTGACTGACTGTGGTTTGAGTCCCAGACTTGGTGGCTTGCTTTCTCACTTCCCCCTCTCTCAGGTAAGGAAAAAAAAAATTAAATAATTCTTAAAAAGATGAATTTTTTCAAGTTTTAGTCCTGGACCCAGAAGTTTGAAAACACATGCTGGACACAGGGCCAGCAAGTGGCATGGTGGTTAAGGGCGATGGACTCCCACATGGCTGACCACAGTTCAAGTCTCGGACCTAATCTCTTTTACATTTGTGGAGGGGCTTCCTGAATTAGTGGGAGATTGTATTTTTAATTTTATACTCCATACCCTCAAATCCTTTCTTTCTTTTTTATTTTTTTGGAGAGGTTTTTGTTATAGGGAGTGGGCGCTTGCCAGAAAGACAGAGAGAGACAGAGAGACAGAAAGCAAGAAATCACCCCACCCCTGGGGGATGGCCACGCCACAATCCCTTCTCCTCCATCCTCCTCTTGGGATTTCGGGCATGCATGCACACACACCCGGTGCGAGTTTAAGCCACCCGGGTCCAGGACTCAAACCATGGTCGAATATATGGGAGTCCAGAGACATAGCCATTACGTCAACTGCTGGCCCCAATACCTACAGAGGACAAATTGAATAAACTTGGCATCTTCCACACAATGGAATACTACATAGCTGTGATGAAGAACGAGAAGGTGTTCTCCATTTTCATCACTGAATGAAAAGTACATAGCACACAGAAGTTTACCACTTATCCTGTAAAGATCGTATTTTCTTACATTTGCATAATCTCTGGAAGGGTAAACAAGGAATGAAAGGGCCTGTGTGTGTGTGTGTGTGTGTGTGTGTGTGTGTGTGTAAGTTAAGAGGAACTAGTTGGATGGAGAAGAGAGGGATGGGGATTCTGTTCGGTACATCATTTTACATTTTCTAATTTTTGAAACTTGTGATTTTATGACCTACTTAACATAAATTTAAAAAACAAACAACACATTTAATAGACACAAAAATGAAGTTATGTTAACTTAAAAGCTGATAGTCTTTGACTTGACTAATATGTACTATATTCATGCCGGGAAAAACCATGTTGTACCCTGCAAACATGTACAGTAATTAAATGTAAATTTTTAAAAAAATTAAAAATTAAATAAAGAGAGCGGGGAGTAAGGTGGTAGGGTCAAGCAAACAAACCAGAAAAGACAGGGCCAGGGATTCTCTAAGCACTTGATTCTGTTCATTTCTGAGCACATCCTCTGTCTTCCAACCAAATGAAAACTGGTTATATGAATACATTTTCCGCATTGGGCTTCTCTTTGAAGGCCAGTCTGAGTGTACAAGCAGAGAATGTCAGGACCAGAAAATGGAATAATGGTTATGTTGCTGGACTCCCACATAGTTGACAGTCGTTTGAGTTCTAAATTCAGCAGCTTTAAAAAAACTCATGTCAAGGGGCCAGCAGTTAGCGTAATGGCTATGTCACTGGACTCCCATGTAGTCGACCGCAGTTCGAGTCCTGGACCTGGTGGCTTAAACTCACGCTGGGCACGTGTACGTGCGTGCCCAAGATCCCGAGAGGAGAAGGGAGGAGAAGGGATTGCGGCGTGGCCATCCCCCCGGGGGGGTGATTTCTCACTTTCTGTCTCTATGTCTCTCTCTGTCTGTCTGGCGAGTGCACGTGCCCTATAGCAAAAAAACCACTTAAAAACAAACAAACAAACAAACAAAACAACTCATGCCGGTGCATATACATGCAAGTTCAAAATCCTGAGAGGAGAATAGAGAAGGGATTGTGGTGTGGCTATCCCCCCTGGGGGGGGTTGATTTCTTGCTTTCTGTCTCTGGCAAGCACACTCACTGTCACGTTTAAAACAAAAATAAAAAAAAAAAAAAAAAGCAAGGAATGTCTTTATTTAAAAAAAAAAGAAAAACAAGGAATAAAAGAAAGTAACAATCACCTCTGCCCATTCTAGTTAAGGGAAGCAGTTCCCAGGGTCCTCAGTGTCCGGTCTCTCTTGCCTGGTGGGGGAGGCCACTGTTCAGAGGCTTAGCAAGTGCCGTTTCTGCCGCCTGGGAAGTCCTTTCTGCTACTTCACCTCCTCCCCTCCTACCTGTCTTGACATGCCAGCTGGGCCCCTCAAGGGGTATGGCTCCGGACTCATCGACTCATCATCTCTCTGCCTCCCAGGAAGGCACTTCCTCTCCAAAGAGCATGGCTCCCCGGGCCTGGCAGAGTGATAGGAAGGGGTGTGTCGGGTTTACAATGTCCCTCCCCTATACAGAAATCAAGACACTAAGATGCCCAAGATTCTACCACTGGCCATCTCTTTTGTAGAAGCCCCCTCTGTAAGGACAAGGACAACAGAGAGAGGTCAAAGGCCGTCTCTCAGCCCCCTGACCACTGCAGTGTTGTCAGTTGCCACTCCTGTCGTCACTGTGCGTGTCGGGTTAGAAGATGGCCCAGGAGGGCTGGCTGCATTCTGAAAGCCTCTCCCTTTTTTCCTCTGGGCCGAGCCTATGAGGTAGGTGATATTTTTTTTACAATCCCCCTTTCATAGATGAGAAAACAGAGGCACAGAGAAATGAAATGACTCCCCAGGGTCACACAGCCTGCCAGGGACAGCTCACCCTCCCAGCTGTTTCTCTTCAAACACCCACAGGCCTGCCTGCAGCTGGGTACTGTAGGTAAGTTCTCTCTCAAGGGTCCCAGGAAGGATCCGATGGGTGGAATCAGAGGCAATGGGACAGAGTGGGGGCAGGGCTGCACCTTGCCTTGCCAGGTCCCACGGGAGGCCCACTACAATCCCCACCGTCCCAAACGCACGTTTGCTTTCAAAGTTGCAGCCCTCGGTGCTCAGCCACCCTTTGCACCTTCTGCTCTGTGACCATGAGCACGCCCCTTGCCTCCCTGGGCCGCCGTTTCCGGTTGTTGGTGCAGGGGGCATGGCTGGCGCCTGGCGTTGGTCCCTGCCAGCCGGCCTAGGCGGAGCAATGCAGGTTGCAGAAGTCGGCAGACGAGAAGAGCCTCCACACGTTGACCAGCGGGAACATGAGCAGCGCTCCGAGCAGCGAGCCCAGCTGCACCGCCGCGCCGCACCACAGGAGGGCGCTGCGGCTCCGATCGCGCAGGATGACGCCCAGCATCACCTTGACGTAGCTCAGGCAGCCAATGAACAGCACCCAGGAGGCCACCTGCGGCGTGAGGTGGGAGAGATGCAGTGAAGGGGACTCGTGGGCAAGCTCCAGGGGCAAAACGCCTTCATAGGGTGACTTAATGGGGCTACGGGAAACCCGTGGGATATCCTCTAGGTGCAAGGAGGACCCCCGTAAGGACGGGGAGACCTTGCAGGGCTCAGGGGATCCCAGAAATTGACCCCTGCGAGGAGAACCTACTGGCGTTTCTGGCTCCTGCCATCAAATCAGGAACATCTGAGAGAAGGGGACAGCTCAGGGAACGTGATGGGACCAGCCACTTCATCTCCCCAGTGAGAGGGGCCTTCCTGAGAACAGACCCACTGACTCTGGTGAAAAGGCCACACCTGGGGTTTCCTCAGACCTTGGCAAAGAGGGAAGAGCTGTAGAGGGGCTGGGGAGCCCCACCCAGGTACTTACAATGAGGACTTCCCCACCCCAGTGGCCCTGCATGAGGGGGCAGGGGCTCATCACAGCCATGGCCATGTTGTAGGCCCCAAAGCCGGTCCCAAGCACTGCGAGGATCCCCAGGAACGGCAGAGACCTAGGATAGAGTGGAGAGGTGAGTGAGGAGGTGAGAAGCCTGACCTCTGCCCCCCATCCCCACTCCTGGGGCCATCTGGGGCAGCAGGCACCTCCAGGGTCCAAGGTTAGACCTATGTGGACAGTTCCAGGCTTGTGGATCTGTGAGGCTTCTGAGAGGCCAGACTGCCCTAAGGCACCCCAGATGTTAATGGCAAGCCTGGATCCCAGCAAGAAAAACAAAACAAAACAGACTCTGGAGCTGGATGGGCCTGGTTCAAATCCTAGTTCCACCATTTAGCTGTGGGACTAGTCCCTGAGCCTCCACACCCTCACCTACAGGATGGGAGTCGTGCAGACTGTGGTGGCCTGTGGGAGCAGCCCGTGCAGGGCCGGACTCTAGCTGTGGACCCCTCCTGATGTTTCATCTGCCATTCGTCCTGCAGCACCCCCGACCTCAGCCAGGAAGCAGGGCTGCTGAGGTGGCAGGGGGTGTCCTGTGACCTCAGGAGACACTTCCCTGTGGCCTTGGCTGACATCATCTACCCTACCACACAAGGCTGGCACGATCTCCAGGGGTCCTGGCACCTGGCTCAGCGGCACCATATTCGCTGGGACGAGCATCACTCTAGAGGTGGCCCTTTATGCAGTCCCTGGGTCTGACAGCCGAGGACACTGTCCTTTCTTTGAGGTCCGTGTCCCTGGGACCCCACTGTCCACAGTCTCCAGTACGCCAAGACTGGTCTGTGCCTCGAGTAAGAGCAAAGAGGCCTGCCCTGACGCTAAGGACTGTTTGCCCTGAGGTTCTCAGAGTCCACGTCTCTCGCAGTCTGCATTTCTAATATCCACAGCTTCTCAGATGCTGAAAGTCTGTGGTCTCTGGCCCTGATTCTCCCAAACCCTCCATCCTCTCCCCATGGTTCGTAAGCCTCAAGTGAGAGGAGCCAGCTTCCTGGTAAACCACCATTTCTTCCTAACTCTCCTATCCTCATTCTGCCTCCTTCCCGGGCTGGGTGGAGGGGGGTGGCAGGTCTGAGAGGCCAGCGAGGGCAGGCAGGGCCAAGAGGGGGCCTAACATTTCAAGATACTCACTTCAGAACCACTTGGGTCACTTAGTAAAAACAGATCCCAGGTCCTGATCCAGGATGCCTCAAGCATCTGCATTCGACAATTCTCCCAGCCATTCTTCTAGCCCAGCAGGATAAGGGAGCTGGCTGGGGGCTGGGGGCTGTAGCAGAGGGCTCTAGAGGGCTGAGATCCTGGGCAGTGGGCCGGGTCAAGCCTTTCTCCAAGCCTCAGGTTTTCCACTTTTAAATGGGAACCTTGGTAGTGAGTGGCCAGCTTCTCTTCCTCATGGGCTGATGGCAGTGGTGGCTGTCACTTTCTTGGACCTACCATGTGCTTGGACTGCCCCAAGAGCTTGACATAATCAGCTCATCTCAAGCTCTAAGCAATCCTATAACCCCCGTCCCCATTTTCCAGATAAATGTCCCTGAGGCCCCAAGAAGTAGAGTGAGTGACTTGTCCAATGTCACACAACTATTGGGTTGTCTGGAACGTCATCATGCATTTTTGCATAGGAAAAACACAGAAAAATACGTCACGACTTTCCTGACAACCTAATAAGTGTCAGGGCTAAGATTTGAACCCGGATTGTTGATCTCCAAAAACCATGTTCTAAACCACTGCACACACAGCCCTGCAGCTGCAGTTTGGAAATCTGGGTTCTGGAGTGCAGCACTCCCAAGCAGGGCCCCTGGGGCTGGGTGGGGCAGACCTGTTAGGCAGGAACATGGAAAGGAAGCAGGCGAGAGGGTTGGCCATGGAGCTGAGGGTGGCGGACAGGTGGTAGGCAACGGGCCCGTAGGACAGGCAGGAGTAGGTCTGCACGGAGGGCAGCACGCCATTGGTGAGCGCGTTCACAAAGGCCACCAGCGTGTAGATGAAGACCAGGCGAGCCGGGTGGCGGGGGGCCGCCTTCTCCTCCAGGTGCCCCTGGCCCTGGCTGCTATCCACTGAGAGGCCCAAGTCCTTCTCTTCCCGTGGCCGGATGGAGTGGAGGGTGATCTGGGAGTTGAGGAGGTCTTCCACAGAGGCCTCCCAGCACCTGGGCTGGCGCTGGAGGAGGAAGAAAGCGACGAGGCAGCAGGCCATCATGAAGGAGAGCAGGAGGAAGAAGACGAGGGGCGAGAAGTGAGCGGGCAGGTAGCGGCTTTCCAGGTGGGCCCTGAAGGTGGCCGTCCCAAGCAGACTGGACACCAGTGTGCCATTAGCTCTCTGCAGGAGACAAAACAGGCCAGTCAGATCCCTGGGGATGGCAGGACACAGGAACAAAAA